CGCCAAGTTTCCAGCGGCTGTATACGGCCTCACCTGGAGCTTGGTTCTATAGCCTTCTCTCTTTCTCTGTAGAGGGAAAAATGAGACCTAGAACGCATCCAGAAGTGGTCAATCAAGCCAGTTCTAGGACTGAAGTCTAAAACATAGGAAGAATTGCTGGTTGCACTCTATGTGTATCCTGCGAAATATGGAATATTATTAGGGGACTAGTAATTAGCCTATAACAACTTGAACACGCCTGGTTTCCACTCCGTCGCTCTTTGAACCATAGTCGTGGCGCCAGCCATATTGGGCACATGCAGAAACGCCCAGAACATAGCAGGTTAGACGTCAGATAAGTTGTGCCCTCTGAGATCTGATAAACCCTGGGGTGCCCTCCCTTCAGAAGTCGTCCGGATTCCTTCACCTGAATCCTGAGAAAGGACGCTTGCTACTTACTTAAAATCTGAGTGGGAGCTCGCTCAGGACCAGTCGGAGTTCCATATTTTAACCACCACTTTTCCCCTCTCTTCACTTGTACACAGGTTGACAACCACCGGAACTAGTGACCTATCGACTGTAGACGCGAAAGCCAGTCAAGCAAGAACTTCAATTCTGTCAGCAACCGTGTTGGCCATTTGTATGATAATAGTTCCAGAAGAAATTAGAGAGTTCCAGCAGCATTCCGGGATCAAAGGTTAATAAGTTGACTAGCCTGTATTAACCCCGGGTATGTGAACATCCTTGAAGATCCATTAATTCCTTGAGAGTGTTCGCCGAAGAAGCAGCCTCCATGATCTGAAGCGATGTCATCCAATCAGTGACCACCCTTCAAGGAATTTCGCTAGCAGTTTAGTTCATGGCGGCTTCGGAAATTTTTCTGTGAACTCTCAGATCGTCAGCTCTGGAAGGACTAAAAGGATGGAGGGGGTCAGCACACAAGCCACAATGCAAAACACGACACACTATCATTTTAGGGAAAGATTCAGAGTTTTCTACCACACCACTGGGGAGAAGCGAAAGTCACGTCAACAACAACCCACCCATCCTAGGGTTTCGCTAATTGACTAGGGCTGGCAACAACCCCCTTCATGCAGTATTCTAGGTGAGATCCTACGTAGTTGAGACAAAGAATCCAAAATATTTCTCCTTCAGAGCGCTTGATGGCCAAACGGATTGGCCACCGCATGTGGATTGCCCTGGATGCTGCTGCGTTACAGCGTGTCGTTGTTTTTGACCTATGGAGGATTCCACCCCGTAGATCCCTTTCGATCTCAAACACATGTCGACATCGATCCGTGTTTCTGTGTCTGAGAAACTGGGTGTAAAAACGAAGATGGAATGGAGAAAGAAGAGCAGGTTGCTGGTGACAGTTTCCTAGCTGAGAATATGGCCGTACGTAGAGATCGAGTTTATGTCATGAAATGGCCCGAAATTCTCCAAGGATGCAGCATCCAAGCTTCAGCAACTCTTGGGTAGCAGAGATTACACGTAATGTGTGTTCTGCTATGTTCAGGCTTCAACTTCTGCGTGTTCTTCCTTAGGCTAGCGCTGGAGCTCAACTGCAACAAATCATAAAGTGGGTGGTTCGCAGTACCCCTAATGTTACACTTAATTATTAGGTCGCCTCTAAATCATCTAAACTTCCACAGTCCAAGCAAACCACCTTGCAAATTTAGCCAGTCTTGTTTTGCTGCTGACTCCCGTTTGTAGCCTTTAATCATCGACCAACAGAAGAATTTCAGAGGACACCTGGAAGGGCGTATTACTAATGTGAGTTAGAGACAGGAGGTGCCCTAAAAACAGTGTGTTAGAGTCCACTGAAGAATCTGGTTTCTCCGTGCACAGCAGAATTTCCCAAGGCCCTTAAAAGGTAGTTGCGTAAACGTGACGTTACCCATCCACGTGCCCTTCTGAAGGAGTCCCATTCTTACCATCCTGGGACTTGCAGTGAAGTAACACTATCAGAGTTCCAGGTACCATGGCAGTCCTCTTTTCCAGCTTCAGTATCTGCAGGTCTGCTCTTTTTTAGTTTGGCTTCATGTTTACTTGGATACCGAGACCCCGCTTAGGTGTCAAGTCCTGGTTAAGTAATTGATACACATTGTATGCCAATTTTTGTTTTCTAGAGTACATAAGTTTAAGTTTATCATGGTTTTTCATGACAACCATTGATAAGCAGATGTATGAAAGACCGACATTCCATGAGGTACTTCAGGATGGCATACAGTTTGCTGCCCTCGACAGTTGTTTTCATGACGCTTATTCAAGTCTTAGCAACCTCAACATGCTAAGCCTAGTGAGCCTGGTCCCAATCGGTATTTTCGTTTGTGTATACTTCAGTTAGATGCTCTTGGGGATATCAGCAGCACGGTAACCGGAATCAGAAGAAAGGTGGTAAGAAATCGCAAGGACCGGAGTGGAAAACCAGAAAACTAAAGGCGGGGCCAACTAACAGGAAATTAGGGACTCTGAAATAGGCAGCGCAGAGGACTGCTCAACTCACTCGATTAGAGCAAAGGGCCAATTCGACTTAAGGCTTGGTGCACTTATGTCATACGTTGACATTGACAGTCCTGCACTCCTTTTGTAAGATGTTAACGTTAACAGACGTGACAAAAATAAAACAATTGTAGGGCATTAGGACACCAAATACGAAGCGTGGAAATCTCCCGTACACAACGGAAACAGTTTTAAACGGTTTCTAACCCCAGTTAAATCCACTGAGTTAGGGACGGTGGGATGTGCAGTGAACAGACCCCGAATATGCCAACGTATAAACAGTAGGGACCATGGCTGAGGCTATAGTGAGCTGGGACTGACTTCAAATCACAAAGGCTGTTAACGTGCTTGTCAAACGAGCAAAGAAACTACCTGCATCTAAGGTCAAAGCAAGTGAAAATTATGAGGGTGTTCAAACCACGTCCAACTGTTACCAGCTGAAAAAACTGACTGATGTCCGAGATGACTGCCTGATCACTACTGCCTGAAGGGATAGTATCAACTTCCCATACAGTCTTCAGCATAAAAATGGTAGCGTCCTGTAGGAAAGCATGTGCGATAAAACCGAGCTAAACTGTTTGAGGCCATTAGCTGCAAGTAGGCTTTCACGCTGTACCGAATCAATAAACAGGAAAGAGCCTTGACGTCCAAAGTTGATATTCTGAAACTAGGGTGATATTGGTGGTGTGATGTTATCGCCCTCCTTGGTAAAATCTGAACTGAATGCAGCAGTGCTACCACATTTTCCACACTTTGAGAGATGAATGCAAAGATACCTTCAAGTGACAATCGCCAGGTCCAAACTGAGGGAAGGTATCTAAAGATATGAATAATACCAGAAAACATTGATAATGGAGATACCCACCGTGATTCTTAGAAAAATCATGCACTTCGGAAAAATGATGGCGCAGAGGGTTTAAGAGATGCACAAAGACGATGAAAACCCTGGACCAAGGCTGATCTTCGAGTTCTCCGGAGTGGCAGCATCCAAAATGAAAGGCTCCTTGGGGAGCCAGACATCGTCTGCTCCATGGAGTTTGCGCGCTACCCCACAGTCGTTGACCGAAAGACCACACTAGAAGCGGAAACTGCAGGGGCTAGTCATACCTTTTATAGACCGTGCAAAAGCAAAATGTGGGGAACGCTTGACTGGTAAGGCACTCTTAGCCGGGATCTAGCAGCAAGATGGATAACAGGGGCGTTTAGTGAGTACGTTCAAATTGGAGACCATAATCTTAACCCTTACAAATACGCTAAGTTTGTTTCATAAGCCTACAGAACTACTGGAACTAAGGAACCACACTGATTCCCATCTAGCACCCTTCGTAAGAGAGCAGGTTTTTCTTGAAATCTCTGATCGGGAGCTGACTGCCGCCAAAACAGTTCTAATTTTTGACAACAGAGGATTCGGTAGCGGATTGGCACAGCTTCCTACCTTGGCCGTTCTCTCTCGCAGACCATCATATCTTCATTCGTAATTTGAGCTGCCCTCAGAAGTCTATCAGGTGCTCCCAAAAGTTATCCAGAACTATCAAGTGCTCATTAGGGGTCATTTATAAGAGGCCGTCTGCAGACATCTGGTACAACAGCCGCACTCTACAGGTAATCGGCTGCTCCTTTTAACTGGGTCACATTCACTATTACCAGGAAATTTTAACCTACCTCAGGTTAACATTGTAGATCATAAGTGCTGCGAGGGTGAAACTCGACCGAAGCTCAATCCTTAAACCCCAGCTAGGGACTTCGGCTAGCGAAATATTTCGAGATGGATAACGGTATGAAAGGACGTGAGCACCGTGTTTCACTTGAACTTCATCTTTAAAAATCAACAGCACCCAAATAACAACTTTACAATCCTGCCTTTCTTTGAGTGGGGATAGTCGTGTTGTTATCAGCCTCCAGTATGTTTGTAAAACAAACCACCCTAACTCTTCGATGAGTGCTACTGGAACTTCAGGTAACCGAACAAACCATCTGTCCGAGGACATTCGAGTAGACCAACAGGGAAGCTAAACACGCATGGGAAGATGTGAACACTTATTGAAAATTGTTGCTTGAAGGAATCAAGTAAACATCCGGCCATTGTGTTTCACTCCGAGCTTCAAAATTCAGCAAGTCACCTAAGGCAACTATCATCATCACCAGTAAACTGCTCAGGCGGAAAGGGTGCTAATGAACAGAATACAAAATAGCGGTAAAGAACAAGTGTACTACTTTAACACAGAGGAAACACACACAAAGGCATCGATGGATAAAGTCATCAATTTAGGCTTGAGAACATGTCTTTACCAGCCCGAAAGGTCTGTCCCTCTATGCTGAAACTTTGTTTTACTGTTGTCTGTAAATTCAGCACCCCGTTGAATAGTTCCGTTAGTTATGATGACTTACCGCTACCAGTTGCTAATTGCGACTTATATTTTCTCTTGTTTCTGTGATGAGGATGCTTCCAAGGCCTGGTCTAGATTCTTCAGAACCCAAGCAGAACATTACCTTTTTCATTTCGGAAAGCTACTCAGGGGATGGTCTTTCCTGACGCTGGAAGTCTCATGAGAACCTATAGCAGAGGATTTCCAAGAGGCATTTTGGGAACAGTATTATTTCCGGACATATATAAGGCAGCTGAAAGTAGCACACCAGGTACGGCATACATAACCAGTTAATTACTTACTAAAATGTCTAAGTTGCAAACATGTAAAGTGAAGCTGAAGTGTATAAGGGTGCGTGTTACAATTCCGTAACGTTTGATCAACCCTTCTTAACTTGATGTGCTCTAGTACCCGACGAACCAGTACTTTACCTATCGTGTAAGTACTGATAACGAAACACAAATCAAAAGAGCTGATACACAATGTATTTGAAGGAGCTATGTATTTAAAGTAAATGTAATAATAATGAATGAGGGAAAAGTTTAATCAACTTATCTGGCTTGTAAGGCTGAACTTGGGACTCGGAGTACGCGCGTGGTAATCAGCACAATGGAGCGCAAAATGGCGTCCAAGCCTGCTCGGATGCATGCTCGTTAAAACAAAACTTAAAACACCCTAAGCATCCGGAGGCAAGCTGAAGGTTTATTTAGTTAATTGAATTTAATCTATTTATTTTAGCCCTAGTTATATTTTGGTGCTAGGAAGGTGCACTACAAGTGCATGCACTTCAACTACACTTTACGATTTTGGGTAAAATATGGTGGGACTTCAAGTTGTGCACTACCACATACAGAACACCTGAAACTTGTTCAGAGTTTTAAAAGGTTAAAATCGCGTAAAGTTTGAATAATTTCGCAGTGCTAGCTAAGTTAGCGAGAGTTCTCAAAAGCATCAGAGGCTTTTCCTAAGTTATCTTGAAATTTGCCAAGGTTCACTAAAATTTTTGTTGGCTAGATATATGGCATTACTAAATGAAAAACAGGATGTCTGAAGAATCATGTTGGAAGGCCTAAATAGGTATGAACAGAAAACTTATACAACAGTTTTGTACCTACATCCACATTAGGATTCAAAATTAATGTACTTATTGATTTGTAGTCCGAAGCTGCTGCTTGATCTAATGAGCTTAGTCAGCATTTAGTATTCATCTATTAGGGGTCTGAATGAATAATAATTTCATTAAATTCATACTCATCTGAGTTCAATTTAGATGAATACGCATATGTTTGAATCTTTCAACAATTAGTTCTTTTAAATACATGCTATAGTTATCCAAAGCATTTAAGGTGTTAACACAGTGTCTAGGTTCTTTTATCTGACATTATTTGCAGAGCAACAGATTTATGATAGTTTAGTGTGGTATCTACACCAAGCTTTTAATCCACAATCTTAGTGTATCATGTCAACTAGGAAAGTTTGGACTATTCGAAGGGAGAAAGTTAAAAAAAACACTATATTATCTGCAATACTATTATATTCTTGGGCCAAAGATGCAAGATGAATACTAAAAACCTGAGTCATATCAGAGTTTAAGAAATGTCTGGCAATAAAGAAGATTAACGACTATGGTTCGGCTTTTACCATGCGTATATATTGGGAGAAAATGATACATAAAACTATTTTTACAATGTGTGGTAGGCATAAACTACTACTTTTAACTAAACATGCCATTTTATATGGCTATCAAGAGGTAGTATGACAAACGTAGATATGAACTCAGTATTTGCTTCAAATAAGACTAGACAAGACTCAGATTCAGACTTGTTATTTGAGGATAAGAGACTGGAAGTCTATATTAATCCTTTCCTAATAGATTCCTGTGCTTGTCGAATCCCATTTTGAACGAGTCAGTTGACGATCCGGACACCATTTCTCCTGGAAGTCGATTCCAGGCGTTGATTGCTCGACTCAAAAACCAGCACTCTGTGGAGACAATTTTCTTCCTTTGGTTCTATAATCTCCTACTATGTCCCCTGAGGTGTTTCGACCTAATGGGGAGGAAAAGAGAAGATAGATCAGGTCCGAAGTCATTTCCTAGAATCCTGTATAGCATGACTAGGTCTCCCCTATGTCTGCGATAGGACAAAGTGAGGATCCTCAGCTTCTTAGGTCTGTCTTCATAGTTGAGGCCGGCCATGGCAGGGATCATATGAGTGACTGTCCTCTGAACTCTTTCCAGGAGGCCTGTGTCACCTTTCAGACAAGAATTATCCACCTGTGTACAATTTTCTAATTTACACCTAACTAAGGATGTGTATAAAATGGTGAACATGTCACCACTTATTTTTGTAAGCGTTCTACGTAATTCCTAGAGAGCCCTGAAACTTCTAGCTGCTACCAATCGACAGTGAGCCATGGTTTTCAAGTCATAACTCACTGTGACTTCTGGGTCATTGACGGTCAGTGCTTACGGTAAACAAATCTCATCAGCATCATAGATGTTGCTGTATGTGTGTGTGCCCCAAGTGCATGCTGACACATTTACATGCATTGATAGGCATCAGCCACCTCTCTGACCAGGTAAACATGCTATTCAGGTGTGCCTGGGGTGGGCGTATATCCTCATCGTTCCTAGTTTCCCACCAGATTTGTACATCATCAGCGTAGAACACCATGGAGGAATTCGTGATTTTGGCAGCGCATCTGCGTACAGAAGAAACAGCAGGGGGTCGAGGACTGTGGCTTGTGGCACTTCACTCTCTACCGACTTCCAAGTGTAGAGTTGAGAATTGATCCTAACTCTTTGTCTCCTACTGACAAGAATGTCTCTCATCCATGTGAGCAGACTGCCAGTGATTCTAAAACTTTCCAGCTTCCCGAGCACCTGAAATGAGGTACTTTAGTGAGTGAAAATGGCATCTGCAGGTATCCTATCATCTTTAGACTTGACCCAACTTTCTCTGGTTGTAAGGAGATTCGTCAAGCAAGAGAAACTTCTGCGGGAACCATGCGGTGGAAGAGAAAATAGAATGTTGCCCTCTAGGTGGACTATGATGGCTTTCTTGACTACTCTTTCTAGGTTTCCTACTACAGAACTAGTCAGACTTATCGGTCTGTAACTTGATGGGATCTGCCTAGAACGTGCCCTGTGGACTGGTGTACTATGGCATCCTACCAGTCATAGGGGAGTGTGCCTTCACTGAGAGACATTCTGAATGTAGTAGTCAGTGGGCCGGCTACATAGAGTGCAAGCTTTCTGAGCAGCTCTGGGTGCAGCTCATCTGGTCCCTTTGATTATTCCACTTCGAGATTGCTTAGTATCCGAAATGCATCATTGCGATCGATATCCGCAGAGTTTATTCTGTTGGATGTCAGTGCTTCTACTGTTGGATAAATGTTCACAAAAGATTCCTGTGTAAAGACTTCAGTAAAATATCCAGCCATGACTTCTGCTTTTCCATATCGTCCCCAATCAAACGGTCAGTTTTGGTCCCATTGATTACTACGGGTGTACCGAGATACATCATCTTATTTCTATAGTTCATATGGGGAAATAACCTCTTGGGATGTGGCAATGAAGCCTGGGCAAGACAAGTTTCAAAGGATATTCGACACCGACAGATAGCAGAGATATATTTATTGTGAGCCTCTTTGTAATGCTTCACCACTTCGGGTGTACCAAGGTGAGTGATAAGACTCCAACACGTTTTCTCACATCATAGAAAGATTCAGATTTCGTGGTTTATCCGTAGAGGGCAGTGTTTCCGTCCCCTCGGGACAGTTCATGGAATGAAGAGTCGGGTCACTTGTGCATATAACTGTTTGAAGGAGCACCACGCACTTTCAATTGAGGCTTCTGGATTGACTGTCCAGTCCTCGGAAGAGGCTGCCAAGTTTATACCTTCCATATTCGCTTTCTATAGGTTGAGTCTAGCTGCGGCATCGGCCTGGTACAAGACGTCTGGTGTGAATCTGAAGATGACCACAGCGTGATCACTTTTACGGAGGGGTGATAGGTGCTGGATGAAGCACACACCATCTGTATGTGAGAATACTAAGTCTAGAACTGATGGAGTATTCTGATGATCATATCTGGTTGGTGTCCGAATATGCTGTATGAGGGCTATGGAAATTGATGTTTCCACCAACCTGTGGTCAAACGAATTGCTTGGTGCTTTCTTTGTGAGTCTATCCCAGTCAACTGATGGTGCATTGAGGTCTCCTACAACTAGACATCAGGATTTATCTGTCCAGAGGGTCAGCTTATTCGGGAGGAAGTCTGCTGCCTCACATTCAGGACATCGACGTATTACAATTACGTTAACATCTTGCCCTTTGCACTTTAGTCGGCAGAGCAGCATTTCACATGTCCCACTCTCATGTACAACTGTTTCTATGGCTTTTACAATTAAGGTATTCTTAGCGCAAAGGATTATAGCATCACCTTTGAGTGCTAACCTATCACTTCTAAAAGAGACGAGTCCTCCTGTTTCCCAGTGTGTTTCACAGTCGCTTATCCAAGAAGAGAGCCAAGTTTCTGAGATAGTAATGATGTCAGGGCTTTCGTTGCGTATCACATTACTAAGCTCAGTCCATTTGTTTAGAAAACAACGTGGATTTGTGTACAAGACGACAAAACTACTTAAATGAGTTTCCGTCCTATCCATACAGGCCTCGGCATCATTTGTTGTCAAAATCTCACTACATGAAAACCCACTACTTTCAGATCTTGCTCTCCAGCTGCTAATCTGGATTTGAGTCCTGCCTCTGCTTCTCGTTTTTAATCCAATCAGCACTGGCCAGATCCTTTCGCACAAACACTCTACATCCTCGAAGTTTGTGGGCACTCTTTAGAATGTGATTCCTCTCATCTGCTGACTTGAGCACGACCTTAAGTAGCCGAAACTTGCTTTCAGTAACGGCTGTCTCCTGCTTTCGTACTCTATAAATCCTAGGTGGGGTAACTCCCGACATGTTTTCTGGTAAAAGCTGGCTTACCAAATTCTGTACCTTGCCAAGGTCATGTTCGAAACGTTTATGTGGATCTCGGTCCCTACCTTCTTCCACTGTGTGAAGATTACGGACCGTCGAGGAGCTCTACCTTGTCTTTGCTCTGTGGAGTGATGATAGCTGGTTCGGTGACCGTTATTGGCTTTTTGGAACGTGGTTTATGCTTAACTAGTTGCCATTTTCAGGGTCGGGTATGCATGGTTTACCAAAGCCTAGTCTAGTGACCTTAACCCTGTGAGCCTCAGAAAGAACTTGCATCCCATTCCGTGTGGTCTTCGTCAATGATTGGGTAGCCGAGCTAGGTATGACCTGTGGTCTGCATGGTTCCGTCGTCGGAACTGAGAGCGCTTAACTTTTATTTCTTTCACCTGAAGTAGACCTAGTTTTACGGTCAGCAGTTTTCAGACTGCGTCTGAGAATGAGAGAACCAGAAGATACTCGCTCCACCCTGCTTGATGTCACTGTCAGCAAACCAAGTAGGTAGTCTGTGCGCCCGACTTACAGCTTCCCGTAGGAAGTTCTTTAAATTTTGTGCAGCAATCTGTGTCAGTGGATGCTGTGTTGCAACCACTGTCACAGTTATCGACTTTGAATTTCGATGACGGTTTCTTAGTTATCGCATTCAGAAATGTTTTTGCTTCTTCTACAAAAGTGCGAATATCAGAGCGACACAACTTACAAAGCCAGACATTTCCTGCGTTCCTGTACCTCTTATATGTTGAGGGTGTGACTTTTGTGCAGATATCGTGGAACCAACTGTTACATTCAATAAATTGCATACCAAAGGCCACTCTACAATCCACTGAAATCCACCACAAAATTAACTTCAATAGAAACAAGATTATACAAAAAGGTTTCACGTCATACTCAGAAAGATTCAATATCCAATTCACCAATATATAGGCATATCCAGACAGGGTGAACAGGCGACATCCAGTGTAGTCAGCTGCCTCTCTCCATAACGACTAACTCGTAAACACAATCACTCACTCTAACATTCACCGTCAACACCAGTCTCAACTTCATTATCTCTCCACCACCCAACAACACTCAATCTCCACTGATTTCATTCATTATCATCATCATCATCGTCATTATCACCACCTTCAACATCACTATCATCATTCACCAAATCACCACACTAATCACACAAATCAATGAAAACATTCAGTCATGCCATTTAGCCGTACACAGCAATCTCAATGACACACGTATACGCTTCACTTACTCTCTTCTATCTACACAATTATCGAATGGTATAAATGTCACATATAACCATTCTAATGCCTTGTAAAGAACTACACATAAAACACACAATCACTCATAAGATACCTATGAAGTTAACATTCAATAAATATTTTCATATTTATATAAACTATGATCAAGATTTGATTGAATAGTAGTGTGAATATTGGGAACTGAGCAAAAACAGTTGACATTTGATATCTACTTTGTTAAAACTCTTCAAACACTTTTACACTAACTGGTTAACTCATGTAAATATTTGACAGGAGTGATTATATCAAATGACCAACATCCATCCAGCTCCATTCAAACACTTTCACGTGTTGGTGGTCAGACAAGACGAGAGACAAGTAGATAATACTCTATGCACATACTACTACTACTACTACTACTCACACTACTACTACAATACAATACAAATTGTAAAATGTCCACAATCACATCGGTATTTAGCTCGTCTCTTCCACCATGAAGAATCTACTACAAATCAAGTAATACGAATCAACTAATGTTTTTCAAGGCGAACTAATTAATGAATATATACTTACTTACTGTTATTCATGTATCATGTATTTAATTGTTGTTGTGAATGAGATTGTCTACTTAAGTGAATTGTGGATTATCAACAAAGTTGTATGTAGACTGAATATTCTTATCACTTATGTATAATTTCGTGCTTATTTCATTTTGTTGTGTTAACACTGACACTGTTTCTATCCGATTGATGCCATATGATGAAATACTTGAAATTGTGTAGAGCATTCTTGAAATAGCTTTCAGAATAAACCTATTTTAAATGATGCATCTGATATAGTAGTAGCAGTAGTATGTGCATAGAGTGTTATCTACTTGTTCCTCGTCTACTCTGACGACCAACACGTGAAAGTGTTTGAATGGAGCTGGATGGATGCTGGTCATTTGATATAATCACTCCTGTCAAATATTTACATGAGTTAACCAGTTAGTGTAAAAGTGTTTGAAGAGTTTTAACAAAGTAGATATCAAATGTCAACTGTTTTTGCTCAGTTCCCAATATGCACACTACTATTCAGTCAAATCTTGATCATAGTTTATATAAGTATGAAAATATTTATAAAATAGGACCTGCAGAAATTTTGGAGTCACCATTACAGTTAGGATGATGTAAAGCTGGTTAACTGTGCGTAATGTCAACCTTGACTATTCAATTTGTAAATCATTTGCAAGTTAGCTATCCAACTTGTCGTGATCTGAACTGATTCAGCTTTATGAAGTGAATTTTTCTGGTCACACTGTTGATGAACTCAGCTAAAGGAAAGTCTAGTGTTTACATCATTGCCATCTAATTACCGAAATGCTGTTACAGATCAATTTAAGTAGTTTCTAACTACTCCATTTGTTCAGTGCTTGTATACTTCATTAATAATATGTCGAGCAGAAACAGGAAGATATATAGATGTATGTTTTGGAACTGTTTTAGAATTAGGCATTACTTGATAAGAGTAAGTCACTGCTTTAAGCAGTTACAACATCGAGTAATTCACTTATGATTAACATCACGTAATGCATCTTTATCCTCTTTCATTTGAGTAATTCCATCAACTTTCTTGATCAGATCAAGATAATACTTTGTTCATGACAATAATTAGCTGTAGGTGATTGTTGTATTTGTGTTCAAATCATCTTCTGGGTGAAGATTGTTATTAAGCAGAGTGATTTATTCTGCTGGTCAGCTATAAGAAACATCTTTTTTGATGGTAGGAATAAATTGTAACTATGAGTGTTATATCATCATAGATCACTCAGATAACTAATTAATCTCATCTTTTCAATCAGTTAATTGAAAAACATACTCAAAACACTGATAAACATTATTTATTCTCCAGAATCAATAATATTTTTTTTACAGAAATGTCCATTTTTTCTTTTATGTTATACCTTATGAATTGATGTACAGGCTCCTGTATATAAATACCACATTTATCATAGATAATGGTGGCTAGTAGTGGGATGCATATGAGACTTATGTTTCGTCCTATCTGAGACTCATCAGCTGGTGATTCTGTTTTCAAACAGATTCTAACTCCGGACTGATCCTTTCAACATTAGACCATTGTCTACCAGGCTATTGAATCATAATAGCCATTGTATTTCCACCTCATTATTTAAAGTGAAAATCATGGAAGTTTCTCCATGGATATTAGCTTTTTTCACGTATGAATTTTATTGACTATTTATATAATGATTATGAATGATTTTTTTTTTTTGTGAACAGCATATCCATTTTGGTCAAAATATGATCAGTTTGTTTATCATGAAAATCAGAGTTTGAAGAAAACATTTCAAAAGTTTAGAGATCAATTGATTCAAGACTATTGTATAACGAATAAGAATAAAATATGGGAATGTTGTGAAAAGTTTAATCATCCTAGTTGTTCAAAAATACCACCAAATGCAAAAGTCTATCAAACTATGCTAATGGATCCAATAAATGATATTCCTTTAATATTTGCCTATCTTTGGTGTACAAAAGTGAGTCATTTCAAATTTGCCAACTTTCCTCATAGATTAACAATCAATATCGGTGTCATCTATGAATTTTATTTCATCTTGGATAATGTAAAGTGATGAATACTTGCTTACTGTTACTTGTAATTTCTTATTAGTAAACTGGATCAAACAGATGAAACTGTATTGATACATAGGCTGATATGTGGAGACCCTGATGTTGCCTGATTATTCATTATATCTTAATCTTACTTGGTGGTAATTAGCATGAGATGAGTTCCTTGCTACCTTTGATTCATCAGGTAGTTGTTCCTGCATCCTATGGGTTAGTGATGTTTTCACTGAGGTTCACGCATCCTGGATTCAAGTGTTCACTGACACCAAGTAAATCACATCATCAATTATCATCAAAAGAAAACAGAATTAATACGTCCGTTTTTATTCTCATCTCTCTGTCTGTGATTATTTATCAGTCTGAAAGTTTAAAAATCATTTATCCAATCGGTAGATTACTGATCATAAACTTTTAATCAATTCTATGCACTTCAAAAGTTCTCTTGAAGAAAACGATATTACCTATGGAAACTTCTTGAAAATTATGTAGAACAAAAAGATAGATCAATGTAGAACTTAACGAAAAAAATGTATCATTTAAAATGATTTTCATTCTACCATGGGACACCTAGGCAATTCATATCTATAAAATCATCAGGGATCAGACTTAAAAATATCAGGTTCCATGACTAGCCCCTTACCATTGAGCCACTGAGTTCGAATCCAATGTTCCATATTTCAACTGATCCTAGGTTTCCAATGTTTCTCCAGCTGATGTCAGTCAACGATGAATACCAAACTAAAAAAATCGATAAATAAGTCTCCATAAACCTCCAGATAAAAAAAACAACAATGATAAGGTCTTTATTCTGAAAGCTATTTCAAGAATGCTCTACACAATTTCAAGTATTTCATCATATGGCATCAATTGGATAGAAACAGTGTCAGCGTATACATAGCAAAATGAAATAAACACGAAATTATACATAAGTGATAAGAATATTCAGTCTATATACAACTTTGTTGATAATCCACAGTTCACTTAAGTAGACAATCTCATTCACAACAACAGTTAAATACATGATACATGAATAACAGTAAGTAAGTATGTATTCATTAATTAGTTCGCCTTGAAAAACATTAGTTGATTCGTATTACTTGATTTGTAGTAGATTCTTCATGGTGGAAGAGACGAGCTAAATACCGATGTGATTGTGGACATTTTACAATTTGTATTGTATTGTAGTAGTAGTGTGAGTAGTAGTAGTAGTAGTAGTATGTGCATAGAGTGTTATCTACTTGTTCCTCGTCTTGTCTGACCACCAACACGTGAAAGTGTTTGAATGGAGCTGGATGGATGCTGGTCATTTGATATAATCACTCCTGTCAAATATTTACATGAGTTAACCAGTTAGTGTAAAAGTGTTTGAAGAGTTTTAACAAAGTAGATATCAAATGTCAACTGTTTTTGCTCAGTTCCCAATATTCACACTACTATTCAATCAAATCTTGATCATAGTTTATATGAATATGAAAATATTTATTGAATGTTAACTTCATAGGTATCTTATGAGTGATTGTGTGTTTTATGTGTAGTTCTTTACAAGGCATTAGAATGGTTATATGTGACATTTATACCATTCGATAATTGTGTAGATAGAAGAGAGTAAGTGAAGCGTATACGTGTGTCGTTGAGATTGCTGTGTACGGCTAAATGGCATGACTGAATGTTGTCATTGATTTGTGTGATTGGTGTGGTGATTTGGTGAATAATGATAGTGATGTTGAAGGTGGTGATAATGATGATGATGATGATGATGATGATGATGATGATGATGATGATGATGATGATGATAATGAATGAAATCATTGGAGATTGAGTGTTGTTGGGTGGTGGAGAGATAATGAATTTGAGACTGGTGTTGACGGTGAATGTTAGAGTGAGTGATTGTGTTTACCAGTTAGTCGTTATGGAGAGAGGCAGCTGACTCCACTTGATGTCGCCTGTTCACCCTGTCTGGATATGCCTATATATTGGTGAATTGGATATTGAATCTTTCTGAGTATGCCGTGAAACCTTTTTGTATAATCTTGTTTCCATCGAAGTTAATTTTGTGATGGATTTCAGTGGATTGTAGAGTGGCATTTGGTATGCAATTTATTGAATGTAACAGTTGGTTCCACGATATCTGCACAAAAGTCACACCCTCAACATATAAGAGGTACAGGAACGCAGGAAATGTCTGGCTTTGTAGGTTGTGTCGCTCTGATATTCGCACTTTTGTAAAAGAAGCGAAAACATTTCTGAATGCGATAACTAAAAAACCGTCATCGAAATTCAAAGTCGATAACTGTGACAGTGGTTGCAACACAGCATCCACTGACACAGATTGCTGCGCAAAATTTAAAGAACTTCCTACGGGAAGCTGTAAGTCGGCCGCGTAGACTACCTACTTGGTTTGCTGACAGTGACACCAAGCAGGGTGGAGCGACTATCTTCTGGTTCTCGCATTCTCAGACGCAGTCTGAAAACTGCTGACCGTAAAACTAGGTCTACTTCAGGTGAAAGAAACAGAAGTTAAGCGCTCTCAGTGGAGTGTGTAAGGATTGGTGATTTGTTTTGTATCATTGTAATCTGTGCTGAGGTTTTGGGGAATTCGCTTTAGGTATTGCCTATGCTGGGTCACGTTTAGGTTTACTCACCTACGTGTTTATTCTCACAAATGCTGAAGTTTTTTCATACTGTTTTTGATAATCCCTCCGGATGGGCTGTTTCATGGTATCAGTGAGTATGTTAGGTAATTCTAGAAGTTTTGGAATCCTGCTATGACCAGTAGTATGGCCTGACAGTCCACGAGGGATCCCAGCTTAGCAGACTACGAAATAAACGAACGTAACGTGCAGACCAATAGACTCTAACACAAGTCAGAGTGTCAGCCACCACCACCACCACCACAGTAATGCCAGTGTGCGAAGAAAAGAAGAGAAGACAGATGTTTGATGCAGTGCTTCCACTGTATCAACGACAATCAACACAAATGACAGAAATACTGAATATGTACATTTCTAAATGACCTTAACAGTACTAAATCCACATATAGGTAAAAATCGTTAACAATCAAGCTGAGTTCGGTTTTGAGATCAGAGGGAAGCAAAACTAGTAATGGTGTATTAAAACAGCCATGTTGGTTATTTTAAAGTCATGGGCAAAACATTTGGCAAAAGCTATGCAAGGTTAGGGGAATATATCACCTCCCCCTCATGAACATGAATATGTACAACAACAACAACAACAACATTTAGTACCTCTGGTATTTCGGGTCAATTCTGAAGTGTCCTGTTCAAGTTATTTTACAATCGGATCTTCATCTGGGGTTAGAACTCCTTCTTGATCTTCGGCTTATCCTAAGTTGATTCTGCATCGTTTGAAGGTTTTAAGTAGTAATTCCAACGGTATCTCGGTCTCTGAAGACGTGGCGTGGTGACATCGTATCTCATTTTTATGTCTTATCCATCTTTCATGCCCTACCCTAACTTCATACATTAAAGTTGCACATTGACATTCGATCAGACCTTCCAGCCTTTTCTATCTTCCTATTCGATAATTGTGAGCGTAGATCGGGTTTACTTTTTTGATAATATTCGACAATATTTTTGTGTTGAACTGGTGAAGATAACAACATGGAATAATGACAGCTATGTAGCATAAGTTCCATTGAAAACTCATCTGAGCCTTTTTCCTCTGTTATTCTAGTACATTGAAGACGATACTTTTGTTGTTTTACTGAACTCTGTTAACAGCTGTTATACTTCTTCTTTCCTCTGAAATGCATCAATATATATGCTTCATCATCTTTGACTAATATGTCAAGTAGGCACAATTATTGTTAACCATATTTGCTGACTATGTTGGTTTTCGATCAGTACAGTCTCAAATAAGCTAATTGTTGTTTTTTTCCCCAAGTGTATACACTTTTTCAAAGGGAATGTATTTTGTGGGTTCATGTATAAATAAAGCATATTGCTGACTTTCTTCTATGTAGACATATAATTCAATCAGTCGGATAATTCATATGAATAAATGAAAATATTCAATGTAATGCAGTCAGTATTGCTTTTCTTTCAGAATATTTATGTTACTGAGGACTCTAAATTGAAAAATCGGTCTGCTACAATAGAATAACTGAGTGGTAACGTCGATGAATATAACACTCAGTGTCACAGGTTAGAATCTGGGGTGAGATATGAATTTCGGCAAGGTTGTAGATACGCCTTCCGACGAGTGCTAACAGGTACAGAATGTAGATCCGAATAAAGTGAATTGTATGGTGTCCATTGTTTCAGTGGTACCGTGGTTAACAATAGAGAGTGAAGTGATTGAGTGTGTCGATCACTTCACTTACCTGGAAGTAGGATCAACCCTGGTGGCTAGTTCAGTGGCCGATGAAATCTCTGCATGGATACTGAGGGCGCGATTGGCTTTTGCAAATTTACGCCACCTTTGGCGCCGCCATGATATCCGTTTGTCTATTAAGGGTCGCGTGTACTGCACAGCAGTCCACTCTGTTCCACTATATGGCTGTGGAACATGGCCATTGAAAGTGGAAGATATAAGAAGGCTTGAGGTGTTTGACCACCGTTGCCTTCGTAGTGTAGGCCGTATTCCGTGGTGTCACCACACCATGTGAGTAATGCAGAAGTTAGGTGTAGAGTTTTAAGGAGAAGAGGTAAGTCAGTTGACGAGGTTGTGAACCTTCATCGACTGAGATGGTTGGGACAGTACTACGTATGCCTGCCTAGTCACCGATTGCCTCGTCACACAATGTTGGCTGAGGTGGGTCCAGGCTGGAAAAAGGCCCGAGGTGGCCAGAGTAAAACATGACACCAATGTATGAAGTCTCTGACTGTTGGTTTAAGCCATGTGGGGAGATGCAGACCAGGTGGTTGGGGTCCATGGAACAAGGGGAACC